ATACATTTATTTATGGATTGGTTTCTTGTTCTCATCCTTCTGCGTCTCTTGGTGTTCAAATTATTCCAAACTTGCTAGTACTGATCAGATACAGAAACTGAGATCTATGACATTAGTTGAAAGCTCGATCGCTGATCACAGAAACAAATGACTCCTTCCTGGCTAAAACCAACTTCCAATTTGTCTCTTCGTGTATAACCAGGTTCACGATTTCTAGATGTGAAAAATCAGTTACACTCAACTCGAAATCCTTCACATCAATTTCTAGGTCTTGGTCGTTTGTTGATCAACAAAGAACAAACGCTTGCTTAATTCTTAGCTAATTAGAGAAGAACAGTCGACTACTGCCTTTACTTTTTCATGTCTATAAAGTAATAGCTATATCGGTGTTTCTCATGCGGCTACATCCTTCTGCAGAAGCACTCCACATATAGTATTCTTCACCATTTGTCACAGTCACACACTTTATTCCAGCCACATGAACTCCTTCACTGTGATATTTTCTTTCTCCCTTCTCTACATCAGAGACCTCGACCAGTGCAATCATAAGCTCCCCAACGCTCTCGTAGCGTTCCTCTGGATCTCTGACCTGTACCAGCATTGCCAGAACAACTGGTTCTTTATTCCTAGCCCTTTCGTTATTCCTCATATTTACCGATCCTTTCCTAGTCGAGCTCATTTGTATCCTTAAGCCTTCCATTGCTAGTACTTCGAGTTCCTCTGTCGCACCAAGAAGTACAGCCTCCACAAAACCATCTTCTGATCCCTGCGTAACGATTCTCTTCTGCATTTTGCTCAAGTCAGAATGCCTTAGATCACCCATTGGCATTGACTCAGTCAAGCAATCATACAAATCCTCCATTCCCATGGATGCCATTGCTCTAATTACCTGTCAATATGCAGGTAGTTTCATTATCAGAATGATATCGGGCAATCTTTTGAATATGTCTCGATGTTATTAGGTTTTCACCCCCAATAACATTTCAAATATTTCAATACTGTATGAACTTTGTTAGACATGTAGTGTCAAGTGACATTTCGAAAGACTTTATCAATGGTGTAAACATGGTAAACTCAATTAATTAATGAATGTATCTAGGGTTTTTGTCATATTAGAAACCCCAAATCTTCATATAATTAGACCCTCAAATATATTAAGTTGTTTTAAATAAGACCCCCATTTCAAATAAATATTAAGACTTGGTGGTCTGATTATATGAAGATTCGAGACCTAATATAGAATTAACAAAGATTTTGGGGGGTCTAATACAACAAGATCCCATGAACCTAGTAGTATTAAAACATCATTATATAAGACGAACATTTTGTGTTTATTTTCTATACCTGAGAAGCAGTTGAGCCATTTTCAATAATCATCGGTGTAGATACTTGCATCAGCAATCTCTTCCAGGGGCTGTCAATCTTTTTAATTTGATGAAGATAGCTTCCGTCTGCTAATTTGATCATCTCTTTCCTTGTCGATGTTTTCTTGTGGTTCTCTTTGGGTTGGTTCTTGATACTTAGCGCCATCTTCATCTGCCCGAGCTCCATTTCTAACTGTCTGATCTTTTTCGAGTAGTCTTGATATATCGAACTGCTGCCTCTGTTACTACTGTGAGGAAGAAGAGGAGTCGAGAAAGACGCAACCTTTTCTTCTTCCCTCTCTTCTTTCTGTTGAGGTGCTCGGTTGCAGGTACAGAGGAAGGACTTGAGTTTTGTTGAGCAGCCGGTGGAAACTACCGGCACTGAAGGAGCTTGGCGTTTGCCTTTGTTGGACATTGTGGTTTTCTTTTGATTTTTGAGGGAGGAAGAGTGAATTGTGTTTATGTTTTGGACGGTGGTTCAGGTTTTGGATTGTTATGGGCATGTGATGATATCAGTTGTGAAGTTTGTTGGAGTTGTTGCACTTTGGTAGGGATGTGGTTGAGTTTTGAATTTTTGAAATTTGAACGCTTGATTTGTTGAAGAGAGTTGTTTTTTTTTTTTTTTGCATGAGAAACCATTGATACCCGTCTGTTTATATGATGATATATGCTAAGATTCTAAGTTAATCGCTGATCCTAAAGTTTGATGTAAGGGATGCATGTTGAACATGTATAAGAGAAAATATCGTCCGCCTTTCTTTCTTGGATGCGGATCCTCTCTAATTAATTAGGTGGTAACTGGAGAGGGTCTAATTCCTCTAATGCCCATCATTTATCTCTAATTTAATGGACGAGATAATGCCATATAGGATTATCAGGATTTATCTTCAAGTATATGTGCTTTATTTAAGGACAATAGTGAAGTGTTTTTAATAACGATCCTTCCCAAAAGATTACATCAAGATGGAAGAAGAGAATCATTAGATATAGTTTACTGTTACACCCCTCAAGACACAACTGTGCAAATTGAAACTACGTTTGAAATTTGCGCTAGGAACTTCCAACTGAGTACATTACATAGTAGGATTTTGACCCTGACCCAAATCAACCTAATTAACGGGTCAAATCCCAATAACTATCAAACCCGATACCCCTAATTCTAGTCTGATTTGGTTTTTTTTTTTTAATTTTTTAATTTTTAATTTTGGGTTTTTTTTATAATATATCAAAGAGGGAAACTATTTACTTTTAAAATGTAACTCCGCCTTCTAGGCTGAGAACAAGTGTTGCGAAGGACTGTAGAAGTGAACCCGAAACATTTTACATCAAATCCATAATTTGTAAATAAATTTAAAAAAAAGTCCAAAAATATGAAAATATTATGGCAAATAGATATAAACAAACGAATTACATAGATTCAAAAGTCAATTTAACATGTCTCCAAAACTAAATTTGAATTCTGTTAAAATAAAATTTCAAATCGTCTCCCGCTATACCTTAGAATTTCATAGTTTCAAGGAAAATCTATTTTAAAATAAATTTTGTAAAATAATACCCTTAAAGTGGTACTCTAAATCAAGTTTTGCAACATAGAACTCCAAAAAATTTCAAGCAAGCTGCAGATAATTATCTTACAACAGAATTCTTAAGGTTGATAACTTGTCAATTACGTGAACCCTCCACCCCATACCTTTGGATGATTATCCGATAACTCCCATAAGTTTTATAACATCTAAAAGTTCCCTTTAATAAATCTAAAATTTTATTTTAAAAAACACCCTTAATAGTTTTTAACATGATTTTCACGTGGATACGTAAAATTTACATAGGAATATATTATTGTCAGTGAAAATTTGTGATTAACATTGACCTAAAATCAGATGATTGAGATACATTATGACACTGTTTGGCAACAAGAGATTGTGTCTTATCTAAGAGATTGTGTCTTATTGACTTGGTCAATAAGCTAGTAGAGCTGTTTGGTGACCAAAAATAGGAGGAGATTATTTTGGAGATTGTGTCTTTTCTAAGTAGCTTTTGGAAAGCTATCTCAAGTAGTGTTCGTCTTTGGGAAGGAGCTGCCAATTTTTTTTCTTTCGTTTTTGCTCCTAATAATTCTAATTTTATATCAATAATATTACATGTCCTTTTTCGTCATTTAACAAATTTAAACTAGTTGTACAGTTACTTTTGCCAAACAGCTCTAGTCAATCAACTAGCTACACAGCTATCAGCTTTCAGCTACAATTTCACACAGCTCTAGTCAATCAACTAGCTACACAGCTATCAGCTTTCAGCTACAATTTCACAGCTTTCAGCTAGCTTAACAGCTTTCAGCTATAATCTCGTAGCTTTCAGCTAGTTTTGCCAAACAGAGCCTATGTATGATCCGCTCCGTTGAACTTGATCTACATATTCTAAAACTTCAACACACCAAGTTTGAGATGAACCCATTGTCGTTTGACGCTACTTAAAGATTCAAGTCGAATCTTGATCCCCGTCTTTCTTATGAGCCAAATAATTCATTTTCTTAACTGAGCACGTTGAACCCCAACAGACCGAATCGAACAAAACCGAACTAGGTTGGGTCGATACGATTCGGTGTGCCAAGCGTAGGACAGTTCCGTTCGATCGAAATTTGTTAAAACCTACCAATCCGATCGTTTGCTCGCCCCTTACCATAACATCTGCGCAGGCAACTCAACTCAGAAGTCCTCTCATACATGAACATTTCCGCATCAGGGCATCTCCAACAGCTTCTCCAAAATTTTCTCCAAAATGAGGAAGCAAAAGTCATATTCTCCAACTAATTTTTACAGCAACTCCAACAGCTTCCCCATTTTGAAGAATCTCTTTTTTCCTTCAAAAATTTGGAGAATGTTGCAGATTTAGGGAAGCTTCCCCATTTTTTCTCCTCTATTCCTATTTTGGGGAATGAGATGGGGAATTCGTTGGACCAAAAACCTAACTAAATTCTCCAAAAGTGAGAAATGAGGAAGCTGTTGGAGATGCTCTCAAAACGCGCAGAAGGACAAGAACAGTATTTGGAAGCTCACCCACACACACACAAGAAAAAGAAGCAATAACCGTTTTCAGTGCTTCATTCATATATACAAAAAAAAAAAGGTTCATAAAAGAATAGTTTTCCCCTGATCAAATTACAACAGAATAAACATAGATACTGATCGGAAAGCCCCCCGCTTCTGAACTGGATCATGACAGACGTTACAAATTGAACTGAGGGCTAGGGGTCGTGGGGCCGAGACCTGCGCCTCCTGTAGCTGTATACCATAATCAAGGGGAAAATATAATCAGCAAGACAAATACAACACATCCTGCTTCAATCAATACTTTTAAGGGTATTTTCTGATGTTAGCACCCAAAATCCTTTTAAACGTTTAGTCCCCTATTATATCTACTTGAAATGAGACCCCCTACTATATTTACCAACCAAATTGTTAACGACTGCTGTGTTGCCGCTTCCACTTTGGAGAAAAAGGGAAAATTTCTTTCCCAAAATCAACACCCAAATCAAACCAAAGTGTTAAAGATGCTGAGTTTAAGTTAAATGGCTTTGGGTTTGAACGCACAAGTTTATAAGCGGTAGCGCGTCCAAAATGTTTAATAAGATCACAGGATAATTCCCTCGATTCCAACCGCTTGCTACCTAGAGGGACTAATGTCAAAACACTTAAAAAGATTTGGGGGTACTAATTTCAAAATATGATAGATTTGCAGGACTAATATCAAAAAACCCTATGATTCAATCAAGGGTTAATTGTGAATAGACCCCATGTAGTATCACCCAATTACAAATAGACCACCTAGGAGAATTTTTTTTTCCACTCTTAAAATCGTTAGAGAAGTTCTAAGGAGGAGGATAGACCCTCCTATAGTTCTATTGGTGAGGACTGACCTCCAATTGCTTTTTTTTTTTTTGACTTTTTACTTTTGAAAGAGTAGAAGTTCACTAAGGGGGTGTATTCACACTTAGGCCAATGCTACAAGGGGTCTCTTCGCAATTAGGTGGTGCTACAGGGGGTCTATTCGCAATTGAACCTTTAATCAATTGATCCGCTTCAACTTTCATAGAACCTGGAGATGGAACAGTTACCTGCGATGACCAGAGCTACTGCTGCTGCTGCCCCTGTCACCACTTACTCTTGTAGTAACAAAATCATCGTCACTGTCCCTAAATCTATGTTCTCCAAAATCTGGAGGTGAAATAGAACCATCATCCACATTTGAAGCATCATACGCTGATCTCTGCTGACCTCTCCTGAAATCCACTGCCCTGGATCTCCGCCTACTCCTCGAAGCCCTAAAGTTATCAAACACCTGATACAAAATGCAAGAGGTCCACCAATTGCCTTCATCACCTGGAAAATCCTCATACTCATCTGCAGACTCATCACCATACTCAATAACATAATCTCCAAACACCAGACTGTTTGGCACTTCAGAGTGTATAGTGCTCAATACATCGATGATTTCAGAAGATTGCTGGAAATTTTCCCAATCGAGTCTCCTAGCAGGATCAACTTCAGATGGGCGTGCATTGGGGTGATTTTGTTTAGCATGTGATTGAAGTTCAGCGTAGTTGCCAATATATGAACATTCTATCTCTTCACAAGATCTCTTCATTGAGTTGAAATAGAGCCGGGCTTCATCAATTACGACCCACCCTGTCACAGCTCCTCGGCACAGAGGGCAGGTTGGACACCCAGCAGGGTTAGAAGACAAAGAGGCCTTTGTGCTGGTGATAGGTAATTTGTATGCAGCTTTGAACCGGTCGAGACAATTTGAGTGATTATGGTTAGTATCACATATGAAGGGTCGGCAACCTTTTTCGTATGAGGAACAATTGAGTAGGACACAATTGTGTGGGAACTCCAAACAGATGGAGCAGACAGCATCCTTCCATTTAGGGTTTGCATGTTGATTATCTTGCAGGTCGAGAGATTGGATTCGCCTCTTGTGTGAGTTACTTGAAGACATTGCAATCGCGAATTTTCCCTAGATATCCAGGTGCTTAAGAAGCTGCAACATAAATCGATCTTATATTACGAAACAAGCATTTACATGAAAAAGGGTAAAAAATCTTGTGGGATTTTAAAACAAATACCAATAAAGAAAGCTGCAACCAAATCAATGAGATTTTCTTTTTCCACAACTAGTTGCTACAATAGTATGCAACCCGTTCTATTTCTCACATGACCAAACACTAAACAACTCCTCTAAGAAACTAAAATCCCTATAAAAGCTTGGATGTAAGATAACCTTGAGAGACTCACATGCACAGCTCGCTCACAAGCTATGAAGGTTAGGGAGGATCTAAGATAAGCTTCGGTCTAAGCTAAGAGCAAGAAGGCGTTCAATGGTTTCTCGATTAGGAAAAGGCGTCTTCCTTGAAGTAAAAAGCCCAAGCTTGGGTCATGATGAAATCTCTAAGCTTCAGCACGACGCAAGGCACGGAATAATAGGACCATTGCTTATTTCACAACTGAGCATGATGGAACAGTTCATCGCCGCAATTTTAGCACACGAGAATGTACTTAGACATAAGGCTATTGGATCTTCATTGAACATGCTCTCTGTCAACAAAGTACCAATTCGCTGGACAGCTCCGCATTCCACACGCACTCCGCGGAGAAAGGAGAGCACGTCAATCAAAACAAAAACAAAAAAAAAAATTTGATTGCATCGTTCGCCTCTCCGTAACGTGGGTAGAAAGCAATTAAGATGGACACAATCATGATTAACTTAACGGATGAGATGACCCTAAAATCTTGTTGTTAGTCACCTCTCCACAGTTAAAAGCAAATGAGCCTACCGCAACAATAAGTTACAGCCACCTTAATCACAGTATTTCGGAGTTTTATTTAGACAACAACTTGAAAGGAATCAAAATCCACTGGGTCAAGTAACCATCAAAGGGTCAAATTCCAAAGTTTCCTGCAATCAGATCCTAGATATAATCCCTATGTTTAGCTTAAACTATCCTTTTCCCCCAACCGATCAATATCTAAATTAAAAAAAAAAATAACAGCTCAAGCAGCAATTATGTGAATAAAGTTTAAAACTTCAGACCCAGAATTAAAATTCAACAATATTTAAATAAACAATGAAAACCCTAGAAGCGGAAAATAGATACATCACCTTTAATCTTGGAGGACTGGCGAGCGATAGAAGAAGAATCCGGTCCTCAAACCCTAACCTTTGAGAGAGAGGGGTGAGGCCTATTTCTATGTGATGGCTGCTAAGTGGGACCCAGTTTTGAAATCGGTGAGGTCATCTGGCGGGCTTGGGGCTAAAATTCGGGCTCTCCTAGGGGCCCTAACAGAATTTTCCGTTTAGTTTTAGTTAACGTTTTCTAATGGAAAATTACTCTTAGGCCCTTTATTCTGTCAGCGTCTTCTTTCTTACTCCTCAATGTTCCTAGACTTAAAAGATTATTATCCCTTTCAATGTAGTTGTTTATTTGACGTTCCTTCATTAGAGAAGTTTTATTTATTTTATTTTAACTCCAAGTGTTTCTATAGTTTAGTACGGAAGTTATACTAAAATAAATTCTAATAATTTATAATAATTTACTAAAAAAGGTTCCGTAGTGAGGGAGTGCAGAAGGGCTAGGGATCCAATAATCTATTCCAAGGGTCTGAAACAAGAAATGACTTGTGTTTGCCTTAATCTTTATGATCCGTCTCATTCTCTGTTCTCAATTGGGTCACTTGTTCTAGGCTAGGTATCGTATATATCTTTGTTAGGGATTATTTGGTTTCATTGCGAAGCCGGAGATGCATAAAAAGTTGATTTTATTTTTCTAATGGACCAAAAATATTGTTAAAGGTACGTCTTGGGCCTAGGGGTGTCACTTGGGCCAAGTTGGCTCATTGCCCCGCCCAATCAGCCAGTAACTGGGCCGGGCCAGCAACGCTTCGCAAAAGTATCTGAAGCTTTGTCCACTGAATTAGTAAACAGCTGAAGATAGAAGCACAATTGAATATTATAACGAGACAACGATAGCAATGTTCGACTCAAAAAAGCTGAGAGAAAACAAAAATTTTTATTAATAAAAAAAATAAGTTTTTAAAAATTCGTACATGCGAAAAAAAACCTGCTCAAAATGGAATATGTTCCTTGTTAATGGAGCACATTCCATTGTTTTAATCCCAAACGTTTATCATATATCTGCGTCGACTCATTAGTTTCGAACGAATATCAAGGCGTATACGGTTCCGTAAGTAAAACGCAGCCTACATCCGCCAGAATCGAATATGAATACCTATCGGTACAGACCTGGGTGTGATTAAAACAAACGTTAGGAGATTACTCGTGATTCATGAGTAAAACAGAAAACAAATAAAAATTCAAACGGGCAGTTTTCCTCTCCAAAACTTCAATGTCCAGGATCAAATATGTAACACTAAAAAGTAAACAATAGAGGGGCTGAAAAATAAATGTTCTTAAAAAGAGGGGTGAAAAAAAAGGGGGGAAATGAAAAACCGCCGATGATTAGATGCTTGGGGAAAGAAACAATGGAGGTTAGTCCGCAATGTTTGTATTCCGAAGTCTAAACTTGCGCAAAAATCAAACTCGGAGGCTATTCCCTTCAACCGAGACACTTGCAAGCGTCTCGGACAAAGGAGCCATATTCGAGACACTTACAAGTGTCTCGGGCAAAGAAGCCATACCCGAGACAGTTGTAACTGTCTCGGCCAAAGGGGAAGCTTCCAAGGCCTCTCCTTCGACTCCTTCGACATCCGTCCCTTGTCCGTCTACTGCAACTACATCTGCTATATCGTCAGTGGAGCATTGGATCACTCCTGACCTATCAAACTTCAAAATCACAATGACAGATCGCATTGGTCCTTTGCACGAAGATCGAGGCAAAGCTCTGGTCAAGGAACGCTTGGGTCCAGTGAACAAAATCCAAATGACTTGTCAGGCTGGGGGTCATATGCGTCCTCCCACTAACCCAAAGCAATCCCAAGTTGGAAAAAATCTCGATTTCCACCCGCTTGGGGGTTCATATCGAAACTCAGAAGCACGTTAAGACTCCACACCCGCAAAGGGGTGGTTCTAAACGTGCGACTCCTGAGAATGCTAACAAGACTTTACATTTCCAGAAGAAGATGTGTCCGTCAAAAGACAACGTTATACCTGAGAGGTCACACCAACAGATGATAAGGTGCTCCGGCAATCATACCGATGAGTTGTACTATCAAGCTGGGGGTGTAAACAAATATCGAAAGAGGATTGTCCGAGAAATAAGCTCTCATTGTTCATGTTAGCAATTCATTAGAGCAGTACTATCGGAATATGACTACTCCAAGCGAGAAGTTATCCCGCAAAGAGTCTCAGTGTTCCAGAAGCTTTTCACCAAAATGTCGAAGCTCAAGCCAAGATATTTCTGCAAGAGAAGAGTAGTTATCCAAGATGACGAATTCATTGAAGTCACCATCAACATGGCTGATAAAGGAAAATCTAAGCGGCATTCAAGTGAATCAAATCCTGACTTTTCCCTGGGAGGAAAAGTCAATCCAACAATTGCTCAACGGATGTCTCGACTCCAGTTAGGAGCCATCAGACGTAGATATTACAAGAGAATGCATGAAGGAATGTCCTCGGAGGATGAACTTTCGGACACTTGTTCTGCGATCGCTTCTGATGATACAATGTCTAGCACGGGACAAACCAAAGAAGTGTTCACAATCACTCCTAATCAGTTTGCTCAAACATTTTAAGAAGCTCTAGCTAAGCAACGTGAAAAAATTAGAGCTGAGATGAAGACGGAAATAGAGTTGTCTATCCAACAAATAAGAGAATTATAAGCTCAACGGTTTCAAGCTCCCGAGTCTAGTCAGCGAGCTGAATCTAACCGTCGCACTCAGAATGTTGTAGATAATAGTGATCCAGAAGTGGACAAAGTCATTATGGCTGATACATCTCCTAATAATAATAACGTTAGGGGTGGTTCAACTGATCCTCTCAACAATAATATTAGGGGTGGTTCAACTGATCCTCTCAACAATAATATTAGGGGTGGTTCAATTGCACCACTCAAAAACACCGAGGGTGACCCAATTGCTTCTGCTCAACATCGCTCGAAGAGAGATGAAGGCGATGACAAGATGATGAAAGAGCTTGAAAATAAAATCAATGTTTTGATGTCCGCTTAGGAAGTAAAGAAGATGAGTATTCCATATCCATATCCAAGAGAATGGGATTCAAAATCTCGTACCCGACAAATTTCAATCTGATTAACTTCATAACGTTTGACGGGAAGAGCTCGCCTGCTCAACACTTGATTTATTTTAAGTCTCATTTGGGCATGATCTCTGAAAACGAGGCTTTGATGGTCTGGTTATTCGTTGGCACCCTTCGTGGGGCCGCCTTCGATTGATACCGACGTCTCAAGCTTGGGAGCGTTAACTGCTGGGATGACATGAAAAGTTTGTTCCTCAGCAATTTCTTTGATGATGACACTAAAGTGTCAATCGGAACCCTTCTGGATGAGAAGCAAAAAGACAGAGAGTCAATCGACAATTTTGTCATGCGCTTCCATAACAAGGCAACGAATTGTAGAGATCCTGTGACAGAGGAGTTCATCCTGCAGACATGCCACAACAATCTATCCATTAATATCTTGAAAGCCCTGGGGGTCGTACCTTCAGCCACTTGGAAAAGTTAAAACTACGCTGCGAACAAGCTGAACGCTTTCTTAAAAGAAAGAAAGCTGAGAGAAGCATCCCGACGACATCTACAACCGCTGTGAACGATGATCAAACATCACAACAGCAACCCCGAAGGCAACAGAAGTCTCCCGATCCGAAGTCCCCGAAAGAGTATTCTTTCGAAGATGATAAAGTTCCAGCCATCTTGAAATACCTCATCGCCAACGACAAAATTAAGCTACCACCTATTAAAGATCAGGAGGGAGCTAAGAGGATTACGGATCCAAACTACTGTGCATACCACAGAAGGGTTCTTCATCCCACCAAGGTTTTCTTTGGCCTTAAAAGCAAAATCCAAGCTTTAATTGACTCCCGTGTCATAACGGTAAAACAAGCCAAATAAGGACGTCATGCGACTCCGATGAGTACAAGAGTATAAACTGCTTCTCCATGTGACTCCGATGAGTACACGAGTATAAACTGCTTCTCCATGTGACTCCGATGAGTACACGAGTATAACTACTTCTCCATGTAACTTCGAAGAGTATAAGAGTATAAAATGCTTCTCGCTTTCCTCCGACGGGTATACGATGTTAAACTACTTCCCTTATTTTCAACAACGGGAAGTTCCTAAAGAATATTACTCTTAATATTTGTAAGGATAACCTAACAATGTGGCCGAATATAATTGGATTCAGATTCGCCAAAGAGCTGGGGGTGGAATACCTTAATTCATTCCAATAGGAAGTCCCTGGAGAATACTACACATTGTATTTTTAAGGATAACCCAAAACCGATTGATTATTCAAGATAAAAACCAATCATCAGAATAATTCATTCTTTATTATGATTAAGAACATCCCATTGTGGCTATTTAATCATTTCTAAGATGATTAAAACCCTCATATTGTGACCTCTGAGCACTCTTTCGTTAAAATGAGATTCAATGACTTCATCGGGTCAATCTTTCCTCACGAAACTCCCATGGAGTAATTATGGAGTGCTTAATGATTCACGGTCCTCCAGCATAAAATCCCTCACTGATCAAATTAATTAATGGTGGGTCCATCATAATTCTTCACGGTTGAATCCATTCAAACTTCCACTGTGTCTAAGCCTTTAACACTCCCACTATTGAAGTCCTAACACGACATCCAAAATTTCAATCTGCTAATCCATAGCTATATCAAACCCCTTCGTGTTAAATCCTAGCCACTTGACACCGAAAACCTCCACCGAGTGATTTGTACAAATCAACATTCTCACTGTTATTTGTACCCTACTCTCACTTCTTATTTGGTCAAACATTTAAACAGTTAGGACCAAATCTAAAATCCCCTCTTGATTCCTTCCATGAATGAGAGGTTCACAAATTGAATGATCAAACCTTTAAATAGTTAGGATCGTCTCAAACTCCCATTTGGTCAAACTTTTAAACAGTTAGGACCAAAGCAAAAATCCCCTCTTGATTCCTTCCATTAAAGAGAGGTCCACAAATTGAACGATCAAATATTTAAACAGTTAGGATCGTCTCAAACTCCCATTTGGTCAAACTTTTAAACAGTTAGGACCAAAGCAAAAATCCCCTCTCGACTCCTTCCACGAACGAGAGGTCCACAAGTTGAACGATCAAACCTTTAAACAGTTAGGATCGTCTCAAACTCCCATTTAGTCAAACCTTTAAAACAGTTAAGATCAAAGCCAAAATCCCCTCTCGATTCCTTCCATGAATGAGAGGTCCACAAATTGAACGATCAAACCTTTAAACAGTTAGGATCATCTCAAACCCCCACTCGGTCAAACCTTTAAATAGTTAGGACCAAAATCGGAATCACCTCTCGATAAATGAAAGGTTTCCATACATTCCCTACTCGGTCAAACCTTTAAACAAGTTAGGACCAAAGTTGGAATTCCATCTCGATAAATGAGAAATCTATTTTTAGATTGGATAATCAAACCTTTTAGCAGTTAGGATTATCTAAATCTTCTCGATTCTCGGAGTGGAGATCCCACTCTTAGTTTCACCCTTCAGATTCTCAAAGTGGAGATCATACTTTGGGTTTTTTTTTACAGTAGGAGATAGAATATAAAATTCTTCCTTTCTATCATCGGGTTCATCTCTATCAACAAAAAAGAGACTAGCAGATAGAATATAAAATTCTTCCTCTCCATCATCAGGTTCATCTTTACCATCAAAAAAGAGACCAGAAGATAGAATATAAAATTCTTCATCTCCAGCACTGGCTTCATCTCTACCAACAAAAAAGAGACAAGGAGATAGAATATAAAATTCTTCCTCTCCAGTGTCTGGTTCATCTTTTCACCAAAAAGACGTAACCTATCAACATTTTCGACCCATTTTCAGCGTATTTGAACACTCCGATGAGTATATGAGTATAAACTACATCTCCTTAAACCTCCTAACGGGTACACGAGGTTAAACTGATTCCCGAAACTCTGAGGAGTACACAAGTATAAACAGATTCTCCACGCTCTAACGCCTCAAGAGCCTAAACTGTGTAAACTCTAATTAACATATGAGTATAAACTATGTTTCTATCGTAATGAAGGTCGACGTCGATCAACGCATCGATAACTTTGCCAAAACGAGGTGCAGATCAGTTCCAAGTTAAAGGATCATCCCTGCTAATTCATTCTGAACAGGATGAGTAGTTCATCGTCAACCCAACGACATGAGCAAATTCAGAAATCAACACACCATCTTCAGTTTAAGATTTCGACAACGGTCAGGCGATAAACGCAGCACCGAATTTTTTTTAGCTATTCAACAACAAACGAATAGGCTGAAATATGGAGAAGTCAATGAATCGAAGTAGAAGTGCATCATATCCAAAGTATTCCAGAATCCTCTATAAAAAATTGAGGCTAAAATACTTTAGAGGGGGTATCTGTAGGTGTCAAAAATTACTTATAGATCATCACACACAACTCAAGACAGGGAGAAGGCGATAAACATTATCATCTCAGTTACAGGGGATCATCCAAAGTTAAAAATTAACTAAGGTGTGTATCAAGAAGCACATCACGCGAGTTTCAAGGCGTAAAACATGCATGGGAGGTATAAAGGGAAATCATAGTTTTCGAGATAGTTATAACTATCTTGGAAACAACGAAGAAGCCGACACACTTTCGAGATAGTTACAACTGTCTCGGAACCATGAAAGGGATCCACCACTTCCGAGACACTTACAACTGTCTCGGAAGCATGAAAGGAGTCTACCACTTCCGAGACACTTACAACTGTCTCGGAAGCATGAAGGAAGTCCACTACTTCCAAGACACTCACAACTGTCTCGAAAGCTAAGGATAGAGAATGTCAGTTTTCTTGAGATTTGTGCGTGCCATGTGGCCCCATAACTGCCAGAGATCGTGTTTTAATGTGGGAGAGCAGTTACAAGCTAGAATCACGCTCACAACCATAGGAATCATGGCCTCAAAACGTGCTTAAAGCAGTTACAAAATGACCAGAAGAAAACCATGTTTTCGAGACAGTTACAAATGGGAAGCTCATCATGCTTCCGAGACAGTTACAACTGTCTCGGAAATAGGAGTCTCCCGATGTGACTTTTTTCCAACTTCTGACTTCAGTTATTGTTCCTAAGGGCTATAAATAGCCTCCTAGGACCCTTACTGACGAGGGCTGAGCATTTTGGAGCAGATCCAAGTAGAGAACTTGAGCATTTTGGAGCGTTCTTCTCGAGAGAGGGAGAGACTTCATCAAATTCGAGTACAAACAACAACTTTGGGATTCCTTAAGATCTAAGCTTCGACTTGATCTTGAAAAGAGTGTTCATCTTACATCGATAAGATATTCACTTATCTTTTTTTTTACTTCTAAACGAAGCAAGAATCTCAAATAGTCTTTACGGTTCAATCAGAATCTGTGAATCGGTGGTCCACGGGCTAACGCACCATCGGCACAGGCAAAGATCCCGCGCAAGCAGCGATCCAAACAACGACCCTACGTGTGTTTCTAAGGAGCTTGTAATTAAAATTTTTGTTGTAAAGAGTAGTTTTACAAAGCACGAAGCTCACTGTTTTGTATTCATTGTAATCGATAAACAGTTATAATGAATTCTACAACAGAACTTGTTCCTGACGCAAACAGAAATCAGCCGCAAAAGCAACAGTATTTTCAGCAATTAAATAATCTTTTTTATTTCCCGCCGTAGTTTCAACAATGCTTTTAGTAATCAAAAATTGTTTGTAGTGACATTTCCAAGTGTTTTTAGAGGGTTTTCGTCTGAAATGAGTTTTCTCAAAAATCTGACGTGACACTCTCATTTCTTTAAATCACAAAACGAAACAAATGTGTGATTTGAAAATCGGTTGAAACCAAAATCCTACGTAGCGGGCGAAGATTTCTTGAAATCATACGTTAGGCGGTTCTCATTTTTTTAGCAAACAAATAGGCCCTAAAAGTAAACAATAGAGGGGCTGGAAAAAAAATGTTCTTAAAAGGAGGGAGGGGGGGTCGATGATAGATGCTTGGGGAAAGAAACGATGGGTAATGGGGGTAAATGATAAATCCAACCATAATCCACCTACTCCAACGGTTTCTTACCCCATCTATCCGATAGAAATGATGGGCTGTCTTCGAACAAACAGCGAGAGAGAGATCAGAGATCAGAGAGAGAGAGAGAGAGAGGAGAGGGCATCGAAAGAGACTGATGAGTTGAGCTCGAGCGTCCAAAATGTATAGATAGATCAAGATTAGATATTTCCTGTGGGTTTCTTTCCAATGGCTGAGCCCATCCCACTTGTTCGCCCTTGTTCTTCTTCTTGTTTCTAGCGCAACAAAGAGAGAGAGAAGAGAGAGAGAGAGAGAGAAGAAGGGGGAATTCGGGGGGAAACAAAGAGCTGGGTTTTCTCTCAATGGCTGTCGCCATGGCGTCTGGAGCTCTCAAGGTTTGCTGCTCGGGCTTGAAGACGGCAGACAACTGCCTGTTTTCTGTTAAGTCTTGTGCCCAGTTGGGCTTTCCCTCTTTGGCTCCCATCAGGGATCGAAGGTATTGCTGCTTTCCCTTGAAAATTTGGGAAGTTATATATTTGTGGGTTCCTGAAACTTTCCTCGTTCTTCTTTGAAGTTGTTGGTGGGTATTTTTCATTATATCCGCAGGCTTCTCTGTGCGATGTGAACTGGTTGGAGTTTATTGTGTTTGCTCTGCTATTTCTTCTCTCTTTGTTGGATTTTTGTACACAGTACAAATCTGCTAGTAGTTGCCTGAGATCTGAGCATGTCGTTATGAAGATTGTTTTTTTATGGTTGTTTCTCAAATTTTCCGTGGCCTCTACTCATAGATCTGATTTTGTATCCTGATCAGCTTCTTTAACTGAGGATAGATGGAGAGGTCTATGTGTACTTCCATGAATGAATGCATGAGCAATGCTGTGCTAAAAATGAAAAAAATAAAATAAAAAACCCATCCTCATACTTATTGATTGGTTGTAGTGTTTATGAGTGATATCGGTGTATAAGTGAAGTCAACATGAATGTAGAATAGAGGGTTGGCCGGCCAGTAGCATTTGCGAGTGGTCTTTGACATTGATTTGTTTGGATTACATTTTATAGTTCTTCTCATGTTTTTATGCTTATGACTAGCATCGGTTTATTTTGTTCTTTGGTAATTGCTAGATCATCATCATCTTCAGCTGTGAGCATCCCTAGAGCTGCATCTCCAACTGCCGTGGAGGTATAAATATGTAGTTACCTCAGTGCAATTGCTAGGATTGCATCTGAAATTCTTTGAATTGTTGGGTACTTAACAGGATGGGAGTCCTACCGAGACTGATACAGTTCCTACTCCCAAAGTTATAATAGATCAGGACTCCGATCCAGACTCAACCGTTGTCGAAGTCACTTTTGGTGATCGCCTCGGGGCTCTCCTTGACACTGTAAATAATTTTACATCCTTTTATGGTATTTTTTTTCTTGGTGGGCCAGAATGATTATATGGGTTAATTGTGGATAGCCCCTCAAAATTTTTACAGATAGAACACGAGTGATTTTTTTTGACTCTTTCGCCCTCAGAGAAAAAGAAAATTGTATTTTCACAAAATAGATCTCATGAGGGTAAAAGAGTCAAAAAGTACACTAAGAGGATCTATCTGCAACGAAAGAACTGCAATGGTCCATCTGCAACTAACCTAAATGATTATATGTTTAAACTTAACAAAGTTTCTTCTTTATGTCTGAAGATGAACTCGCTTAAGAATCTAGGCCTGAATGTTGTCAAGGCTAGTGTATGTTTGGACTCATCTGGCAAGCACAACAAGTTTGCTATTACTAAGGCGTGAGTTCTCTCTATGAAAAAAATGCTTCTCTGTTTGATACAATCCGGAATCCAATAGATGGTTGATGAGTTTTCGGTGGTTATGATGCTTTGTAGTTCTACTGGAAGGAAGGTTGAGGATCCGGAGCTCTTAGAAGCAATACGCTTGACAATCATTAACAATCTTCTTGAATATCATCCGGTAAAATTTATTACAGGTTTTCTGCTTCTTAATAGAGATTGCATATGCTGTTGCACTTGCTATATGAGGATTCTACTTGGTTGTTTAGGAATCGAGCAGCCAGTTGGCTATGGGAGCAACCTTTGGAACTGAACAACCTAAAGAAGTGAGTTTTTTTTTCCTTAGTCCTTTTCCCAAGTAAATCAGGGACTATTAAATTAAATCTAGCTTCAGTTTAGAGAGTGTTCTACCCAATAATTTTTACTAGAAAATGAAGAATGTATCATCTTGAGAAGGCTTAGTATTGTCAATTTTATGCGAAACAGATAATGCAGCTGTACCTTATTACTGCTTGAGGACACATTCCATGTTTTACCTTTCATTTTTTGTTGTATAAATGATGTCAATTAAATTTATGCTTTTCTTTCTCACTTGAATAATTGTTTGATATCTCTAGATGGAATACCTTCATTTTAAGTTAGGTATGAAATTTGTCAGTATGCTTTTTGATTTTTATCTTATTTTCCTTAAAACCCATGCATTGCCATAAAAGTGTTCAACACAACTGATATGTACCATTACCCTTTACATATTATACTCATTCACTTCCTATTCTGTCACTTACATCAATTGACCATGTGGTTTTCTCATTTAGTTTGACCCATATTAAATGCTAATCATATACCATATTAGTTCAAAGAAGAACACAGTTTGTGATGTGGGAGCTGACATAGATGTAATGTGTTTTACATTGTCACAACTGAGACTTCCATTTTCTTGTGTGTTCTATTTTTTTAAAAAATCTATTTATTATTTTGCTGTTTATATTCAGGTCGATGTGGATATTGCGACACATATATATGTTTATGACGATGGCCCTGATCGGAGGTATGTATCATTTAAAATTTCAATATACTTTCATAAAACCTCCTTTTTTACATGTTTCATCACATGTAGAAGTTCAGTACTGTGGCTGAGCTAGCAATCTGCTTCATCTAATTATTAGATGTTAATTTTTCTTAGAACTTCAAAGTGTGATTTATCTAAGCATCAGATGCTTGGAGTTTCTTGTATTGTGACCTTCCAGCTGTAGATATGTAATCACTCGGCACTCCTATGTTATTAATGCAAGTCATAAGCAAATATTATAATTGAATTTTTCTGAACTCTTCTATCTTACGAGCATTTTGTGATGCAATGGAAGCTAATAACTCAATACTTTCTCTCCTGTTTAAGTTTACTTGTGGTGGAGACAGCAGACCGACCTGGATTACTGGTAGATCTTGTTAAGATCATTACTGACATAAACATCACTGTTCAATCAGGAGAATTTGATACGGAGGTAAATTAGATGAAAATGTACTACAGAGTTTTCACTCGCTTAGAATCTGCTATGAGCAACAACTGTACCCAGTTATAAGGATAAACCTATTATCAAGCCTCTGGAACAGGTAAAAATTCTTGAAAAACTGCAGGCTATGAATCTCAAATTATGCATTTATAATGTGACTAAATTGTTAAATTAGTTGCTTATTGTTTATGCAGGTTCTAGCTAATAGTTTGCGGTACTTTTTGAGGAGGCCAACAACAGAGGAGGCAAGCTTTTAGTAACATCCTATCACAGAAGATTGGCATGAATGAGGATTCAAACTCTTATTGAGGAGGCAGACAATCAATCTGTAAGAAATTTGAATGTAATTTCATTAAATTAAAAACTAAAGAAAAGAACCTTTTCCAGTTTTATCATTGTATTTCTTTTGAGGAATTTTACCTCAAAAGATTGTCATGTCAATACCGATTTTAATACATGTATAATTGTTGGCAATTCTTTATTCAAATCTATTTGGCTGGGTGAGCATGAGAGCAATAAACAAGGTTCAATGAGAACTGACAACAAATTGTGATGCAGGAATTGATGGCTATTACTCAAGAGTAGTTACATTTGTACAATGTCTATAATACACTGTGCAGAAGCAGACGAAGTAAAACCAAACTAATTCACTGTTCAGGCTCAATGGAAATAACAAACTAGGGAGAACAGAGAACCAAACTAGTTGTCTTTTTCAAACCCAACCAATACAAACACATTTTAAAGCTGAACCGTAACTGAACTGTTGAAATTATTTTATCTGTTCCAATCAATTAAAGTTCACATTTGGAGGCTGTCAAGATGAACAAGCTCCCACAATGTCAAAAAAACATATCCGAAACTGTAAAGACACATGAAGAAAGTAGGAAAGAACGCTTAATCTTCATCGTCATGTATGATAGGAAAACATCAAGCCTTGTTGCTCCTCTTCCATGCATCTCACTTGTAGTGAGAAAGATAAAAACTGTGTAGATTTGGTTGTTGTTGTATGTTGACAATGTCCGACTTCACCACTGACACTGCACGACCAATGCAGAGCCAGGGTCTGACCGACCGTGCAACATATACTTGGCGCCCTGCTCGGTCATCTCGGGTAACTCAAAAAGGTTGGTTGTTTCAGGTGGTTGGAGTCCTCGAAAATTGTTGGCAGTGAATTCGGTCTAAATTTTTTTGAAGTAATTCAATCATATATAATATCAGAAAAGGATTGTATATATGCAATCCTATGACCCCCTCTAATTTTATGTTGCAGATAGACCCCCTGAGTGAAATTTTTTTGACCCTTTTCAGGGGGTCTCTCTGCAACAATTGAACAATAGGTGTAGTGAGTCCAATTTGGCAATAGCGCAGGGAGTTCTATCCTTAATTAACCCTTAGATTCTTTACCATGTTCTCCGGGAGGTCGTCCCATGCCTTCCCACTGAGCACATATCGGATAGCGAACTTCAAGAAATCAAGAGGGGGAAAGAAAACGATACTGTATCGCCAGATGACTAGAGCCCAATCCCAACCTATTCCCTCGATACCTGCAAAACTCCAGCCGGCATACACAGCTATCAGAGTTGCAGCCTGCCAAACGAATTTTACCCTTTTTAAGATTTCCTTCACTATAGATAGTTGCATTTGTATCTCTTGAAACCTGTCGGAAAAAGAAAGACGAGGATTACAAAATCATACAAGTCGAGCAACGAGAAAAGCGGAGACCAACAAGAGTCCAGAAGAGTCCAGGTCGCTCGACAAAGAACCAGCCACGAGATCGAGTGACAAAGATGAGGGCCTGGCTCATAATACTGACTTTCAGGTACAGAGCAGCCATCACTTCACCGTCACTGTGCCTAATTGGCTGCACACCAAATTTGTCCTGCGTCGGCATGGGAATTGAACCTGTAACAAGAGCTCAGGAATATGTAAATGCTTATGAGAAACTATCAAAGATAAGTCACAACAGGAGTACGAAATGGAGTCACGCAAACTAGGGGATAGGATGATTCTTACAGAGAAGAAATCAGCATCTTTCGTTTTCCAGAAAAAGAAGATGCTCATCAATGCCAAGTAACTGCCATACATGAAGCCATTAGCGCAAATCTCCTTCAATTTCCAACTGTCAGATATTGGGGATGGCTTCGCTCGGTCCTTTGATATTGTCATAACTGTACCCAATATGGACAGGTCTCAAAGTAAGCAAGAATGCTCTTTCCTCTTAATGCAAAACTCACCAACACTGAGGATGGTAATAATCAGAACCATGAAGGGTGAGAAATCGAATTTTCATGTCAGCGCAATAAGCTTAAAGGCGAGCTACAAAGATGAGAAGAAGCATTTAGCACTGACACGAGAACAATGTTTTGCCTAAACGTAAGTAGTAAACCGATGATTCGGTCACAGAAGCAGTACTTTCAACAGTACAAACTGTATTAGAAACAGCATAGACCCGTGAAGGGACAGGAATCAGCAAGGACCAGTGAAAGAAATCAATGCGCATGAAAGAAGTAGATGACCGTCGCAAGAAAATACCTAGGTGCCTACCGCGTAATTCTTCGTCGTCTGGGAAATGAGCTCGGCTGGTAAGGACCGCAGCAATGATGACACTCAGCCCAGGACCGGTGAGAACAAATATCACAAGCACTCACAGAGACATCTTTAGCATCAACAACTGCAATTCCAGTATCAGCTTTCTTTAAGACCTTGGATGTCATTGACCAGTAACACCACATACCCGGTTCTTCTTTTGTAGTCACCTCTCAATTTCATCATATTTGTGCTCTATTTTAAAGAAAAGCTAACATATTAGGAAACCCATAAACGAAGCTCCACACAACTGGCTTATACAGGGCTCGCCTCCGAAAACCCTGGCAAATCCATCAGATCTTTGTCTTCCCCGAGCAATGAAGAAGATTGGGATGGATACATGTTCGTCCCCCATTCCGAGTCTTCGGCCAGTCTCCTTGGCAGTAGCAAGCTTATCACCTGAACAGGAGGATGTGCATATATTAGAAATTCAGAATTGCATGAGTATCAAAAGAAAAAGGAAGAGCAAAGCTACCGGTAATCATTTTGACATCCACACCAAGATCTCGAGCCCTGCGAGCGAATGGCTTCTTCACTGTCATTCCTCAGGCTATCAAACAATGGCAACAGAGCAACAAATTGACGTGGCCCACCAGGGCTATCCTTGTTCTTCTCAGGAACTTCCTGCAGAGGACAAAGGTGAATCGACTGTCAACACAAAATAAAATCACTGCAGGAAACAGTTTCCGAGATATTATTGCAAGTTTGCAACAAACCTGTGTTGCCACAGCCAATGGTCGAAGCCCGCGTGCAGCGAAACTTCTCAGCAACAGGGTGGACCCTGTTTCTAACATCTTCGTTGCAACTTCAAAGGATCATGATCTCCTCCTTTGGTGAACTTCTCAGTAACAGAGTCCCTGAGGAATGAGCATTTGAAATCATAATTTCAGTAAAAAACGACCTCCTCCTCCTTCGGTTTGTTGGGACCGAAGACCTCGAGCCTGAAGGCTCCTTCGTCAGTCAGACGACAAACCGTCCCTCGAACATCTAAGCTGCTCAGACAATTCTCTATCGGAATCCTCTCCGTTTCGAGCTAAATCATATATCTTTGATTTAAGAACACATCGCCCGCTTAACCGTCTGGAACTAAAATATAACAAGTTATAGTGAAATAAAGCAACCTGCAGCATCATATACCAAACTGTTTGAAATAATAATATATTTAAAAATAATTCAATGAGGTACTTTGAATATACTTAATTTGGAGTATTTATTAATGAATGCTCAAATAATGGTATGGGAAATGGAAAATAACTTACGCCTCGTTTGGTACGCGGGAATGGAGTCAAGTGAGAATGGAAAGAAGGTAGAAATTGAATGGAATAGATGTGGGAATAGAATGCACGTTCTCATTCTCATGTTTGGACGCGTCTAGATAATGAAACGGGAATGACAATCTTATTCTTATTCTCACGTTTAGTATCATTTGTTCACAAGTGAGAATAAAATTTAGTTTTCTAATAATGCACTTACCAAAACACAAAATTTTAAAAAAATTAAAAATATTTTAAAAATGACTAAATAATTTATTTTTTTAGAAAAATAAGATTTATAGAAATGATATTTTTTTCCTTAGAAAAATAAATTTTCATGTAATAGTTATATTTTGGCACACCGTTTCGGCAACAATTTCGGACTTTTGGCTTGCAAAATAAAAATAATTTTCATAAAAATTATTTTTTATTATAAATAATTATAATTTCCTTTTTCTAACTTCTAGTGCTACATGTCTATTATTTGTACGAGCAGCTAATGTTACTAACTTCATTGTGCGTTAGTGAAGAAAAGAATGCCTTATAAGAGATATTTCATATAATTAGGCACTCTTCACAACATCTCCTGATAAAAGAAATTTTGAGATTTCATGTTCGGGGGGGAAAATAAAGGGGGGAAAGTGCAATTTATCATCCATACGTCAAAATTAATATAAACGATAGTATCTATAGTTTAAAATTTTATATGCATAAACTATCACATTCGACAAATTATTAGAAATATCCAAATTCTAATCAAAATATCCATAAAATAGTACGAACAAAATAATTGGACAACCATCAAAGTATCAAAATATTAAGTTTTAAAATTGCAAAATGATAAACTAGTTTGTCACTCCAAAGTATATCTAGTTTATTAAAAGATATTGGAACCTAAGGCAAGGTCCGCGTTAATATACTTCTTAGGAACGAATGAACGATATCATAGATTTATTAAAAAATAATATCACAATATATTGGAACTATGGCAAGGTCGCTAATATAAATTTACTTAGGAACTATGTTTGTATATTGGAACTTGGGCAAGTTATATTCATGCTTATATTTATTTATATATTTGTACTAGTAGCTTAAGATAAGTTAATTTTTTATAAAAATAACTTTCATATGGGAATTTATATCTATTTGTATCTTTTAAGGAGGGTATAATTGAAATTTATTTGATTATTTTTATTCTTACTTAAGTGAGAATATCAATTCCTTGTTAAATGGTTAGGAATGATAATTCCAACATAAAGTGCGAATTGATAAGAAGTGGGAATTTCAATTCTAACATCTAAAAATACATCGTGTTTGGTACGTGGGAAAAAAAAGTTGGAATTGCATTCCATTCTTACTCGTTCTCACGTACCAAACGAGCCCTTAATACTTATTGATCGCTTGTGTTGTTTACAAGTGTATCATCCTTTTTGTCTTAAATAATTGTATAACAATGAAAATAACGGGCTCTGTTTCAAAGGATATTTTCTGCTTTCATTCTCTTGTACAGAAAACCAAACTATTTGCATGTTATCTCATCTCTGTAATATAATGATAAGAAAGTGAGGTTATCAGGAGTTGCAGAATCTCCATGACTACTTACAACAAATTCAGGCTGCGTAATAGAAAAATAATGCCGCATAAAAGCTGACAAGGCCCTTTTTGGAAAGTAGGGGGATTTTAAAAAAATGGGGTAAAATTATGGATTTATAAGCAAAACATTCATTAATACTTCACGATTCTGCTACATTAGTCTTTTTTTTTTAAACGGTTCAAGCTACAGGAAAATATACAGCTTACACCATATGGCTTTGGTTTTAGAAGTACACCTTATACTTAACTATTTAGGACAAAATGTAGCAAGTTCCAGTAAAATATGAATACACTGCATACCAAACTGTGAACACATAAAAAAATGGATTCGAAGTTAAGTCATTGAAGTATTTTGAGTTGGCTTTAGGATATTTATTGATTGGGAGGCGCTACAGACACACCCTCAGCCACATTCCCTCTCCTGCTACAGTGCAGGGGGCCCGCATGTGATTTTTTAAACAAATCACATGCAGACCCCCTGCACTGTAAGCAGGAGAGGGAGTGTGGCTGAAGGTGTATCCGGTGGTGTGCCTCTATCATTATTCTTAGAGATAATAACAAGTCCTCATCTTTTTTTGGGTAAAAATTTACCTCCTTATAGTGGACTCAACATCCATGCATAAGCTTAGGTATAGCTACTATTCTTATACAAATTTGCCAAATAATCTTTGGGCACTTTCCTCATGAATAAGCTAGCACTAATAACGTCACGTAGGGTTCCACAGCTAAGAAATATCAAACTGGTAAAAGGAGTGTAAAGAAAACACCAATATGGAAAAATAGTAGGGAAAATTATCTTTAAGGGGGCCTCTTCTTCTTTACTCCTGTACAGAAAATCAGATTATTTGCATGATCCTTCATCTCTATGATTTAATTATGAGGAGTCGCAGAATAATTACAGAAGAGATGAAGATTGTCAAGCGAGCCGCTGTCCGTGGTATACAAGAGCCTCCAGGTCTCTCTCGTAGCAAAAAAACGGAGCCTAACAACATTCAGGCTTTGTGATCACTTCAGGCATAAACTGCTCTGGAATTTATGCAAGTTTTAGAAAAAATAATGTCACATAAAAGTGCATTTCCTATCGCAGGATCAACTTGAATTAAATACTTAAAGAGGTTCACAGAGATTAACAAAAATGCTAATAGTAGTTCAGAACATAACTGGCATCTCACCGAACAAAAAATAAATAAAACCTTGGATGGTAGCAATAGGTCATTTCAATATTAACAGAGAAGCAAAAGACTCCTGCACAATTTCTCTTCAGCAAGTACCAAATATAACTAATGATCAACTGCAACCACATTTAGCTCTGTGGAAAGATAAGCTGAAATCTAGTATTTCAAAGTATTGTCAACAGTCCTGAGTACTTTGAATATCAGGAACCAAAGAAAAAGAAATGAAACAGTTGAGGGGGGGGGGGGGGGGGGGTACAAATTATATACATCTCTCTTTTGATTTCCTACAAAATAATAGCAACAGGAGTGATAATAAAAATCATACAATAATGCCTAATTAAAGTCCACTTATCTCACAGAAGTGCATAGCGCACACAATGATAAGCGCAACCAAGTTTTTCAACAGCCAAGACTCCCCTATAAACATGTGACAATCAACTCCAACGTGAGAAAATGTAAAACTGGCCACTCTTTCCTCCTTTCATCTTCTTTTCTTTCTTTTCCATCTTTCCCACCTCCTTTTGATGTGGATGATCATGTCCAATCAGCTAATCACATCATTGGTTCTCAAGAGAACACTTCTTTTTTTTTAAAAACCCCTCAGGATAGCTTCATTATGCTCCAATCCTCTCATATGCAGAACTCGCCAACGAAAGTTCATAAAGCTCGCTTAGCATCCATTCCTCTCCAGTTTGGCCTCCAAGCACTATAGCCTTTGTACCTGCGACGACACAAGTACTATGTCCCCAAGCAAACCTTGGGGGTCGGCCAGGCACATTCAGTATTCTCCATGTGGGCTTCTCCTCCGTCGGGTCCAATAGATAAAGTTGAGATGCGGAGTGAAGCCCGGCCACTGACCCACCAAAGATCAAGATCCTACCACCGGGTAAACTCACAGCAACATGGTCAAGCCTCGGTGGTGGGCTAATACCAGCAGGATTCCCAGCTCCAGGCATCCCACTCCCAGTTATGTACCTCCAACATGGCTCTACTTCACTCAAGTCCAGTGTGAACACGTCACTTGATCGAAGACGGAGAGGTCCACTTTTTGCTAGCCCACCAAACATCAATATCTTCCGAGTGTCATAGACAGACAGTGAGTGGCCCAGTCTTGATGGTGGAGTCCATGAAACCGGTACTTCTCTCCAAACCGGTCTCTCCATAGTTAGATCCAATAAGAATGTGTCGCTGAGAAGCACGCCCGAATCCGCACACCCGCCTGATACCACGAGCTTGGTACCATCCAGGGTGCAAGAACTATGCCAAGATCTAGGGAGAGGAGGGGCGAGTCCAGAGACCTCACGCCATGCTGGTTGTTTTGCATCAAGATCCAATATGAAGACGTCATTTAGTAGCCCTTGTCTTCCACAACCACCAAATACTACTAACCATGATCCATTTAGACAAGACAAGGTGTGACCCCAGCGGCCCGGGGGTGGGGAGCTCACCTTGACATGCCTCCATTCTGGCGCACTGGCATTCAAATCTAAGACAAACGTATCATTCATAGGTTGCATGTTCACCCCTTCACCACCAAAGAGAACAACACGGTTTCCAACAGCACATGCGCTAAAATTGCAACGAGATGGCTCGATAGAACCTCCAACTGTTACTTTTCTCCACGCTACAGCCTCAAGGGTGGTCAGCTCTCTTGCCAGCCTTCTCCAACCAAACCTTTTTGCTGCTGGAACACTTTCTAAAGCTCGAGTTGTCTCGCTAGCCCATGCATTCTGGCACACCATTTTCCAGAGGTCCTCATTCTTTGATATTTGATAGAGCCGCTTGCACACAGAACCGACCGATGCTATGTCTCTTGGGGCCAACCTCGAAAGAATTTTGTGAGATAGTACCTCGTCGCTCAGTTGAAACATGTTACAAACTTCACGGCAAATATTTCCAAAATGCTCTACTGCGACTGGCCGGTAAAATGAATCAGGTGTGAACCTAGTGGAAAAATTCATTAAATCCTTTGTGAAAGAACCAGAGGGCGGACCTAAATCAACATTTGCTTCAGTGAAGAATTGAATGCCAAGAAAATGGGTTATTTCATCATCGCCGTATATTGGGGTTAGCTGCAATTTGTTCATTAATGGAGAACCATCCTTTCTAAAGTTTAATAGATCACCCTGAAATGTTATGCCACTGTCAAGGCATCTTCTTATTTCAGAAACTACTGTTGAGTCCACCAATGGATGTCGTCTTTGCGCGAATGGACCTCTGCATTGCAAGAATCGACTGAAACGAGAAATTCAACTCAACTTTAGTTTGTATTTTAAAAAAGCATGCAAAAATCTGTAAGACCTTCAGCATTAGAAACAAAAAATACTGTTTGGAGATAAAGCAAAATGTTTTTTACAAGTAATAGTGGCAAAAAGATATCTGCACCGCAATAATTAAATGAAACAAGAATTTTTCACTCAGCTTTAGTGTTGCATCCAAGAAAATCATAGATAATAATATTATATGACCTTAACAATTGGTAACAAATGCCTGTTTAAAAAAATGACTTTAAAGATAAAATGAATATGTTTCCAACAAGTACCAGATGAGTCATTTTTTCAATTACAATTAGATTCTGATAAGAGTAAAAAGTCCAGTTCAAGGCTACATCTTGTATTGTAATCAGTAAACCGTAACTGAAGAACAGATCAAAACCAACATACTTTCCAGTCTGACCATGAGCTAGTTAACTAAATGTTCCTAGATCAATTGTAATAATGAGATCTGATAGCAGCAGCACAAATACAGTCACTTGCAGACACAGATAGACCTAGCAGGATGAGCAGTTGTCTAATTTCCCTTTGATATTTAATGCATACTCAATTTGTCAATTTTATGCCTAGAGGTTAGATAACATTTAGGAAACAGCCACCTTCTACTTCCCATTTGTGTTATCTTTTTTAATATGCCCCACATATCTTTTTTTCAAATTATATTGTCCCCGCATTAACTTTCGTTTCACATGCTTCAAACCCGTAGAAGCTACAAGTCCGATCCCATATAATAAAATCCTTAAGTTGATTAATATTGGAAAGCCTCAAATTTTTGAAGTGCCTCTTATATTTATAAAGCATGAGAATTTAAATAGTTATATTCACAAAGTTTCATAAGTAGTCCAAACGAAATTTAAAATCCCTAATCAAAGACCTTGAAACACAAAAAGACACCAGAATGTAACAGCATGACCTCATCCGTGTAAGTGGCAATCAGCTAGAGCCTAGAGGTGATGTTCATGTAAATTAAAATACAAAACTACTCTGGAATTGTTTTAGGCCAGCTAATAGGCTTGGTAGCAAGGATTCACAGATGGCTTTCTTAAGTTGCAACTGCTAGTAATAGGCTTCCGTAGAACATTTTATATACTGATCTTAAAAAATGAGGATTTCAATGAATTGTAGCTATGAAGGATTCATGGATCTAAAGAAAAGAAGCCTCAAAGAAGGTACAATTGTTTAAAAGTTATGATTTGTGCCAAAAAATTAGGAAGATAATATATGTTTGAAAAACTTGGTTAATGCAGTGGACCTAAAAGAAAATAAGTTTCAATAGTTTGAACTAGTCTAGAGCAAAAGGAAGTAGAGGGAGGTAGTAGAAAGGAACAACTGAAAGCATACTTCACTTCATTATACTAATAGTGTCGAGTACCTTTCTATCTATCTATCCATTTCAACCTGAAATGTCCCACTCCTCACCCACACCCCACCTTTTGCCTAGTCTCCCCTTTTCTCCCTCCACATCTCCTATCCTCCTACTTAGGGGTGCATCGGTTCGGATTCGGCTTGGATATGATGCTTATCATATCCATATCCGCTTACCCATCTCAGATATGGATATGTATACGGATATACCTCGGTAAGGAAAATTCATATCCATATCCGCTAAAATCGGATACGATTACGGATATACATGCGGATATATAAGCGGATATGCATGTGGATTCAAAACAGATATGAGAAAACTAGATAGTATTGAGAAAATATAGTTTGTGTGATACAAAAGAGTTCGTTAATATGCTTATTATAACTGAAAGAGAAGATTAGACATCTTGATCATAAAAATTAACCACAAATCCATAATCTAAGATTCGAAATCATCATAAGAGTATGGCTAATATGTATTCGGATATTTCGGATACATATATTTTTTACTATAGAACCATATCTGTAACCATATCTTATCGGTTATCCTAACAGATACGGTTACGGATATTTCCTCGGATACGGATACAGTTTAGCACCCCTACTCCTACTCCTCATTGTTGTCAACATTTCCTTCAAGTTAATGAGCCAACTCTAATTTGAGTTTGCATAAAATGATAAGTGAATCGCAAAACTAAACTATTGGAAGCAAACAATTTAATGCTTGATGCCTTGATTGCTTGAATGAATTAGAATAATTATTTTTATTTTGTGAATATCTTAATTTTTAGATCTTGTGTGATCCTCCAATTTCCCTATTCCACAGCTCCAAATGCTCCTCAAAGGCATCCATGATACAACTTTGATCGTCATAGTCTAAATTCAATGCTTATGACTTAGTGGTGGATCTCAGCCAACTTCATAGTTCACTAGCTCACTGCTAGGCAGACTAGGCTAAGATTTTATTATTTTTCCCAACAAGAAACACCTGAAAATAGGAAGATAGAATAAGGAATTAAACAACCGATCATTTGTCTCGATCACCATTGCTAAGTTTGTCTAATCAGGGGCTTCCCTTCTTGAACTTTCATACATGAACGTACATCAATATTTTCTTCCTTGAAGCATGAAATTTTTGGTATGATAAATTCCATCAGTGAACATGAATCACTCTCATCTTCTTCGAACTTTGAGCTAGAAAATACATTTCCCATTGACATAGTTTCTTATCTATCCCACCCGACAAAAACCCAAAAAGTTATCAAGTTGACGTTCTCGCAGTTCGAGTACCTTGCGATGAATTTTAGGACAAGCCAACACCAAATTTGGGATTTACGAGTTACAAGATGAAATCACTACAGTTCTAACACTCCAGCAGCCTATAACTGATGCCAGATTGATGAAAGAAATTAGGGTGAGGATAGGTTCCAGATAATATAGAGCAGAAAAAGAAAGTGCAACAAAGGCACGATTAAGTCTTAAACTATTCATATAGAAAAGGTTTATGTGCACTTCACTACCTCAATTTCCCCTTTTAAATTTGATAACCTGAAGTTCTACTTTGACAGCTTGATACCCTAAAGTGTAAAAAAGTTGACATTAATTTTGTTGAAAAGTGAATAAGAAACAAATATTATTACCGAAACTTCGTTTTTTTTTTTTTTGAGTTTTGGAGCAAGAGAGGGGACAAAGTTAGGGCTTTGGAGTATCAATTTGTCAAATTAACCTCGATTTGTTTGGGGTATCAAGTTATCAAAATATAACCTCAGGTGTGTAAAGTTAAAATAACCCTAAAAGGGTTCTATTTTAACAACCTGAAGTACAGTTTAACAATTTGATGCATCAAATTGAGGGGAAAAAAGAATATTAATTTCGTTCAAAAATACCTAACATAGAAAAGTTAATGAGAAACGAACTTAGAAAAGTTAATGAGAAACGAACTTTCTTACCAAATTTCAGTTTTTGAGTTTGGGGGGAAATGAGTTACAAGGCTAGGCTTTGATGTCTAAAATTGTCAAATTAGCTGCCAATTTGAAAACTTTGGTGTAACCAGTTATCAAAATAACCCTAAAAAAAGCTGTGAAACAAAGCCAGAACCCTAAAAAAAGCTTACCAATTCCTTCCAAGGACCTCCTCAGCTCGATACCCCGTCCCCTTCTCAAACCCTTCATTCACATAAATAATCGCGGCCAAGAACCCCTCTTCTTCCTCCTCCTCCTCGCCGCCGCTAGAGTCCTCAATCTCGCTATCCCACTCCATGGACAAAAACCCTGGAGCTCAACCCATTAGGGTTTCGAAGTTAGGGAAATTTCTCTCGCTCCTTTTTCCCCCCTTGCTTTTTTTTTGTGGGGAGTTCTTTCGGATCGATGGAAGAGGAATTGGAACGAGTGGACGAAGGAACGATCGAGAGAATGAAGGACGCGGACAGACCTATTTAGCTGAACTTTTACCCGAACCCGACTTTTTACTAACGGGTCGGGTTTGGCGTTTGGGGTTTTTTCCTCCCCCCTCCTTTCTTTTCCCCAATGTGCTTGTGGTTTCTTTCTATTTTGAGCTTTGCTACAGGGACCTACCAATAGAGGAGACAAGTAAGGTGTTTTCCTTCTATTGGATAATGAGTTGGCAATCACTAGGGGCTGTTTGGTTAAAAAAAATCCCCTTGAAAGCCTGCCAAAGTATTACTTTTTTGGCAGGCTTTAAGCAAAAACGCCTCTAAAAAAAGGATTTTGCTTGAAAGCCTGCCAAAAAGTGACACTTTTGACACTTTTGGCAGGCTTTCAACAGTCACTTTCCCTAAAAAAACAGGGCACCAAACAGCCCCTTAATGATGGCTAACTCATTATCCAATAGGAGGGAGACATCTCACTTGTCCCCTCTATTGGTCCCATATTTTGGGTCCTTGAGGAATTTTTCTTCTATTTTTGTTTCATCTTTTTTGGATTAGTTTACCCTGGAACTTCCCTTTCTTCTTTCATTTATTAATTAAGCAAATATGGTTGACTACTGTTACTCCTTACCCAATAAGACCTGTTTTTGTCCACGTGGACGTGAAAACAGCTTTATGTGATAATCTAGAGTATCGAAATTTCGCACGGGAGCGCCCTAACAATCCTATAAAATATGGGTGGAACATTCCTGATTATTGTGGAGTAGACTATTGATGTAAGATAAATTAGTAGATCTCTATAAAAAATGAATAAAGTCTGAAGATCGTAAACGGTTCTGAAGACTTCTCTTGTGATCATGGAGACCTATAAATAGAGGAGAATTATCTATAAGAGCTTTGCTACAGGGATCCAAAATATGAGACCAATAAGAAGGACAAATGAGGTGTCTCTCTCCTATTGGATAATGAGTTAACCATCATTAATGATGGCCAACTCATTATTCAATAGGAGGGGGACACCTCACTTGTCCCCCCTATTGGTTCCATATTTTGGGTAGAGGAGACCATAATTCGAGCAACCCATCCTTCAATAGTCTAGCGAGAGATTTGGTAAGTGTCACGGACAAAGGCGGATCTAAATGCTTGAGTGTGGCGTCAAGTGGGTGTTAAGTATAATTATCCTTAGTTAGATTCATTATTTATTATTATTATTATTATTATTATTATTATTATTATTATTATTTTGTATCTCGTTAAAGTTCTGATTGTATTGAATGTGAGTCGAAAACTAGTGAGTACTATGACGCCGCTGAGATAAATTTTTGGCTCCATCACTGGTCATAGTTCGACCTTGGAAAACTCCAATTCATAACAAAAACTTATAAGCAGAAGAAATTTCCAAAAATATTAAAAATCCTCGGCCCCATAAGCTTAGGAGAACAGACATTGTACGTTTGGTTTGAATCAATTTGTACCTAGTTTTTAGTCACTAAAATATGCTAAAATTTAGATCCAGTTTTGATAGAGTTCTTTGTTCGGTAAAAGTTAGGACAGAGCTGGTCCAAAAAAATTAGTTCGTTTTGGAGCCACTTAATCGGGCTAGAATTGGATCACTCCCTACATGGTTCAATTCCGACTTGGTTAAAAATAAATAAATAAAATATGACTAGCCGTTTAGAGGGGTTTGCCAAAAGGCACTTAGTATTTGGCCTATTATTAAAAGTTTATGAGATCCACACGTAAAGTATGTCATGATCACTTTTATGATTCATGCTTTAGATATTTAAACATATTAAACATACACGATCTGATCACGCTACGAGTGTGGCATTTACATGTAAAACACAACGAACAAATTCTTCTGATTTTTGTTTAGTTGTTGAAACTCTTGATATAATTCGGTTTTGAAAGTCATGACATCCATGAAATAATATGAGATATATATATTTTTTCAGTTCTTGTATTTGACGTTTCATTTTTCCTTCATTTCATTTATAAATATAATATTTCGAGTTAAAATAATGAATTTTGGGCAAGATACTATGAAATTCATAGGGGTTTAAGCCTAAATGAGAATTTAATCCTGCAATAACAGTAAAAGGATCCGTATCATTTATAGCTTGCGTCTTTATAAATTTTAGATGAGATAAGATTGTAATCATGGGATTTAATTGAGGACTAAACCTAATCTTTTTCGCTGCTGATCGGAATCCCATATCACAACACAGTTATTTTACTTCAAAATTTATACGTGTGTACCTGTTAATGACAGATCAATTGTACAAATTGAAGATTTGTTTTATTTTATTTTATTTATATTTTGAGAGGATTGAAGAATTAGTTTGGTTGACGAATTTATAGATCTAGACTCTAATTCCTAGAACCACAGCTGGAGTAGCTCAGTTGGTTAGAGCGTGTGGCTGTTAACCACAAGGTCGAAGGTTCAAGCCCTTCCTCTAGCGTACCAACTTTCGATTTAATTTTATTTTTTTCAAAATTGGATAATTTACTACAAACCCATTGCCGTTAACTGTTTGTTATATCTCCCTCTTTCTTTTTTTATTTTTGCCTTTTTATCCTTTTTCTCTTCCCCTGGACCCCTCTCCTCTCTCCTTGAAGAGCTCACAGAAACTATACCAAGAGATAGAGCATCCACGCGCACCAACCATGCAAAGATTAGCCTCTCTATCCAAAACCAAAATTACCCCATAAAATCTCTCTCTCTCTCTCTCTCTCTCTCTCTCCCTCCCTCGCGTCTCTTCAATGGAGGGCACTCTCTTTCCGAATAGACCCTCATTCCCTTCTCCAACCCACAAAAATCCCCCCCATAAACCCTCAACCCACCACCACCCGTTGAAATTCAAACCCTCTCTCCCTCTCCCTCCTCCTCCTCCTCCTCCTGCCTCCATCCCCTTAGACTCCCTCCTCCTCCACTTAACCCCTCAAAACCCACGATCCCAATCTCAGTATAGCCAATTCAAAGAAACCCATGAAGGGTTCATCCTCTCCAGCGACCCCCGCTTCGACTTCCTCACCCAAAAGGGCAAATCCCTGCTCGGTTCGATAGCCGGCGCCCCTGTGAACGGCTT